AGGAATGGGGCCCCTCCACAGGTATACCTGGATTGATTTTGCCATTGGTGGGCTTCATTTGGTCACTAATGAAATCTTTACTGTTGGAAACAACAAATGCAATTATTTCTAGAGGAAACAGTAGGAGCTGGGGAAGAGGCTGTCTGGTCTGCAGCAGGGGAGATTTGACCCCAGCCAACTCTGCAAATGACCCAAGTAGGTCACTGAAAACAAGTCATCTCTTTGTTCCCTCTTCTCCAGCAGGCAGAGAGGGGCTAATATGTTTTCATCTGAGTTAAGGAGCATGTAGACACTGGAGCACAAGGCTTCACTTGTCCCACCATCCGGAGTCAGGACACGGGATGGGCCGTAATGATGGGAGTTACACAAGACAGTGCTCCCAACCCACAGAGCTCCAGACCACAGCTGGAAATCATATTCGGGAGGCTCCTTAGTTTTTGGAAAACCAAGGAAAAAATGAGTTCCCTTTATTCGCCTGAAGTCTGTTCAAGGTAATATCTGGAAACTGCTATGAATCTCCAGAACTCCTCACTGCCTTCTTAGAAACAGAGAAGGAACTCTGTGGAAATATTCTCTATGAAAATTTCACAGTGCGGTAGAATTAAATTAGTGACCAAAGATGAAAGCCCAGAAGGTCATCTGCTCCCATGCCGCAGTGAACATGTCTCCAAATTCATTCCTTAAGCTCACCCCAGAGTCTCCAATGCTGGCCTCTTGGAACAAAGGCGCACCAGGCACATCCTAGATTCCAGCCTCGCACTCCTCCCATTAAGTTGTAAACTTATTTTATTGGCTGAATAAATGTTAATGCCTTTATATGTTAATGGGTAAAGCTCTGAAAAGCACCGAAGTATTACAGCACTGGAGCCTTTGAGGATGAAATATGGCATAACTTGGAAATCTGTCTGTTACAAACATACGCCGTCCACGAGGCCCGCCAGCCCTTGTTGCTCATCTGCACAGAACTCGGTTCATTCCGTTAAGAGAATCTTGCCCTTGCACACAGATTTATTAGGTCCCTGGATCCGAATTTTCTGGGTAAGTATAATTATACTTTACACACAATGTATTATTAAAATGACTTGAAAACAGTCACCTCAGCACAAATAGAGGGGAGAGGAAGAAGTAAAGATGAGGCTGTAAAACCCGTGCGAGATTAAGTGCACCAAGACATGACGTAGCACTTCTGCATCCTGAACATTTGGAAACGGAAAACCTCCCTTTCAGGGCAAAATGCCTGGGTGGTTTCATTAATGAGCCAGGGAGACTTCTGCATTTAGTGAGACCACCCAGAGAGAGGAGAGAGAGAACGAGAGTGAGGGGGAGAGAGAACTGGTGCCAGACATCGTTAAGGTCTCAGCTCTACCACTGACAAGCCCTGTGACTTTGGGTGACCTGACTTGAACATCTCACCTCAGTTTCTTCACCTGTAAAATGGGGATGTCAAAGGTGCCTACCTGGTGGAGCAGCTGTGATGGTCAAGAGAGGACCTTGGGCTGCCTACTTAATGAGCGCTCGGTGAATGCTCTTCCAACACCTGGGGACACATTGCTGTTGACAAGGGGGCTGAATGGAAGCTACTGGCCTTTTCTCTGGGGAGCTGTTGTCTCTAGTGGATTCTGTCTCCTCCACTCTGCAGAGACAGCACTCAAAGGGGCCACCAAGCATGTTCTACCCGCTAGGTGGTTTCAGGTCCTCATCTTTCCTGTCCACAGTGTCCTAACGCTGTGGAGCTTGCAACTCTCTGCCCTGGGGTCCCATGATTTCACCATGGCAATATTCATGAAGCACCTCGGATCACTGCCTCCCCCTTCTGTTGACCCCGGGGGATCCTCCTGTGCTTGGCCTTTAAACGTGAGAATTTAAGCTCTCACGATTTCTTGGTCTCTAGTCTCTCTCCAGGAAAATGTTGCCATTTCTATGGGTTAATTGCCAATGATATGCTAATCAACTTAATGAGCTGCTAATTAATATGCAAAACGTTGGCCTGCATCTCAGAATTCTGCTGCATTCCTGCACATGCACCTCTGCTCTCCAAGCTTACTTGGGTTCTCCAAGGCACCTCCAATCAGCATGTCCAAAAATGAACTCATGGTTTCCTCTTGTTTCCCCCAAAACGCTCCCCCTGTCTGCAGGCGCACCTCCCCTGGAGTCCTGAAGAGCCTTGCTTCTTCTCCTAACCCCTCCCTCCATTCTCCATGGCACTTAAATTCCAACGTCACCACGTCACTCTGCATGAATGCTCCACCGCTCCCTTTCTTACAGGATCTTGAACATGACCTGACCCAGGAGGCCAGTGCCCTCAGGCTTCCACCACTCTCGCTGGACTTCACCCTCCTTCTGAGCAGCCACTCTGGCCCTCCCTGTCCTGTCAGGGCCCTGACGAGTCCTTCCATTTCCCCACCTGGAGTCCTCACCGACTTCCTATTTACCCTCAAGCACCAATTCAAATGCCACCTCCTCAGGGAAGTCCTCTGTCCCCTCAAAGAAGGTCACAGTTAAAGTTACAGGTTCATTTAAAGAGGAATCTTTAAAAAGCAAGCGCTGACCTCTCTCAGAAGACTGTCCAGGAGGGCGAGGGTACATGCCCATTTGGCCCACCGTGGCTGTCCCGTCTACGCCCCCATGTGAAGAGGCAGGAGCTCCCTGACTGTCATCATCTCAAGGCATTTTTCATGACCCGCCTCTTCTTCCACAATAAGACAGCACCATCGCTCCAACATGGTGGCTACAAATAGCAAGTCCTCCAGGTGACCTTGACCATGATAGGTTTGCCTGGCTGGTCACAAGGGCAGAAGAAGTGATAAGGACACTTGGCCTCTACAAAGACCATCCATGCAAACTTGGCTCTGAAAAGATCACATCTATGATTGGCAGCACACGAAACCGGCAAGCCACCTCGATGACGTTTATCATTTTCCGTTAGAGAATCATGCCACTCACCCTCTTATTGATTTATTCGTTCATTCAGCAAAATTGGGAATTCTAAATTCCAGACTTTAAGGTCACCGTCTGGGAGGAAGGCTGGCATGGGAGAGACTCACAATAAATGTGACAGGTCCTCACTGAGGAGCCCTGTGCAATGGAGTCCTTAGGGGGAGAGGGGAAGATGACCTTGGAGGATGACTGATGTGGGGGGAGGCAGACAAGAGGCAGAAAGACATTCCAGGGGCCACCAGGAACCCTGGCTGGCTCCCTGAGGAGCTCCCAGTGCTAAAGACCCCTGCTGTCAGAGGGAGAGAGTAAGGGCTCTCTCTTTACTGCTGCTCGGGCCAGGGCACCTGTTCCTTCAAGTCTCTGCTCCCTCCTGTGCTGGAGCGACCCTTGCAGGTTCTGGGAAGAGCAGAGCTCAGACAACCTGCTGTCTTCTAGCACATTCCCTCTCCCATGCCCCCCTCCACAGACTCCTCCATCTCCCCCATGGACACAAATCCACTGCCTGCGAGCCCAAATTCTCTGTCTCACGCCCAACTGGGGGACGGCTGAGGCGGGGGTGCCACCAGTGTGGGAGGAGTCAGTGTCATGGGATGGCAGGAGCTTGGGGAGGAAGGAGGCTCTCATCAGCCCTCTTCAGGAAAAAACAAGAAAGCTTCGCGGTCCTGACTGTGGCAGTCTGCTTTATTTTAATTGAATTTTACTTTACCTAGACTCTCTCTCTTCAGTGTGCATATCACTCACATCTCTATGCAAACCGGAGGCCCTGCTTAGAGAAGAGAAGAGAAGGGCCAAAGGACAAGTTTCTTCCATATCCTCCGAAAGGCCCAGAGGTGACACAAGGTCTAGAGAACGGAAGAGGGGACCCGTGTGTGCTGGTATTATCATCTTGCAGATTTAGACACCAAGGCCCCTCGAAGGATTATGGCTTCAAAAGGGAGATTTAGACTCTGAGCAAGGAAGCAGGGCTGTACACTAACACTTAACCTAAAACAGAACAGAAGAGAGATAACATCTACTTCAAGGCCCCAAGGGAAGCTGCCTGCTTTGACAATCGTTTTCCACATTATTTACAAAAAATAATAGAAATGATTATGAATTAAACAAATCAAATTTTCAATTAAGTCTCTTGGTCAACTTGCAAATTAAATTGATTTATTAAAGGGGAAAAATCCTTCTTTTTTATTTTTCTGTTTGTTAATGTAGAAGCTTAAGTCAAACCATTACACGGTATTACTGTAATGCACTGGCAATTCAAGGAAGAGTGTGTGGGATGTTGAAAAGTTAGGAATATAATAAAATAAAGTTGGTCCCCCCACCCCTTTACAGGGAATGGCTACTCCATCTGGTCTAATTTGTCTTGGTGCTTTGCCCAGTATAATATCAGTTTTCTGAGAACTGTAAATTATTAGGTGACTCCCTTGAAAAAATACGAGTAAAGAGGACAGTCACTTCCTGATTGTGGGCTGGGGTACTCAGGAAAACACGAACACGGCACAAGGGCCCACACCCCACCTGCCAATCTGCCTGCGAGACAGACTCATGCAGGAAACTTGGGGACCGCGGTGGTGAAAAGGAAAGGCTTGGAGTGACAGGGAAGCTAATAACATGCAGAACAACACAGAAATACATTTTCAGGCTCAGCATTACCTCGTTGTCAGGTGCTTCTGATTCTAATTAAGTTTAGAAGAAAAATAACAAGGCAACTCCTGCCTGACCGAAAAGTACAGATTATTAAAAGATGCTCTCAAAGAGTCGGGTTTAAATGGGTGCATCCAAATGTGGGTATCGCCGTAGTTTTCATCTACAGACTGTTCTTTTGTCTTTGGGCCGATGGCTTTACAACAGTGTCATCTCAGCCGGTGCCACGGCTCCTAGGTGAGCTCCTAGGTTTCTAAAAGAGGTGTGCTTGTTCAATGTCTTAGGCAACTTACATAATCACCTCCAGAAAATGCAAACATCAAGCAACATATAAACCCTGCGCTCCCTGACGCTGGGGCCACACGCCTCCTTTCTGCCTGACGTCCAGGCCCAACACATTGAGAAGATTTTTAAAAGTCTCTTACCCGGATTATTTCTTCGACACAGCTGTTGCTTTCTCCAGATCGACTCTCCTGAAAGTTAAGGGAAAAAAAAAAATTAAGCCTGATAGAATAGTTATGGCCACCAAGAGCAGAGAGCTTGCAAGCTTCCACATCAGTGAGGAAAAACAGATCTGTGGACCAAGGGACGCGGAGCTGGGCCTTGCTGACAGGCGTCTTTCCTCCAGGGCTGGCTTCCATTTTGGCTATGCCGTGCCCCCTCCCCAGCCTGGACATGCCTTGCAGAGGCTCAGCCCTGGGCCTTCCAGCCACACTGACTTGAAGTGAGGTGGGCTCCTGGGAGTACACAGCATGACCCACAGGTCTCAGCCCTGTCCACCTTGGGTTCCACCAAAATATGGAATCCCTAGCCATTGCTGTGTAAGTGGATCCAGTTTACCTACCAAAAGAGCCAGAGGGGGGACAGTGGCTGTGACAGATTAAGTAGAAATCTACAAGTTCCATAGACCTCAAATCCTAGATTTGGCTCCAAACCAAAAGACCCCAAAAAGACACCCCCTCTGAACCTCAGCACAGCCTGCTGGTGTCATACCCTGGAGCCACCTGTTCTCCTGTCACCACACTGCTCGGGCCCTGGTGATGCCAAGGGACTCTGAGTTGTGGTGGCTTCAGGTCACAGTTGACCCTGGAGAGTACTTTAACTGGCAGAGACACTGTTTGGCCATTTATGGTTCCATATCTCAGAGGGCAGGACGAGATTTTGTGGGGATATGAAGTTGGGGAGCGTCTGTGCCCATCTGTGGCCTTGGAGAGGTCATTCTCTCATCTTGTAATTAAAGCTGTTGACGTCAGTAAGTGTGACCTCCTAGAACGGACCATTCAGTGATCTCTTCTCCAAGTCCACTGTCCCTTCCTCCTCACAGTTCTCTCTCTACCAGGAATGTCACTGGCACCTCCCCTGGTTTTCTAGATAATTCCAGCTCTGCGGTGGTTTCCTCAGAGCAGCTGGCCCTGACCCTGGGGTCCTCTCTCAGCGGCACTCACTTCCTCATGATGGTCTTCCCACAACCCCAATCCAGTTACTGATTCTCCAACACCGTCCCCACCCTCGGGAATGTACCCTTCACAGATTCAGGGCCTCCACCTGGCCCTGCACCCGAGCTTCACACAGCATGGAGGAGGAAGTGAGAGTTATCAGATGACTGACGAAAAAACAAATTAATTTATTTTCTGCAGCTCGGAGGAAAGTGAGGCCTATCAGGATCAGCTCTAGGCGTTTCAAAGATGGCGGACCACACCTTCATGCTCCTCCTGCCCCTGTGTATGCCACTCCATGCTTTTTCCTAGGGGAAGATCATTCCCTTTGGAATAGTCTACCCTTCACCCCACGAAGGGGCCAGCATGTGGGAAGGTCCCACACATCACGGAAACCTCCTTCTATCAAGAATCAGCACTTTGTCCAAGTCTCCCAACTGAGGTCCAGAAAATCTACAAGACTTGGCTGAGGCCACAGCTTGGATTGACCATGGGATGGTCCTCCAGAAGGGTTTCCCAATCCCAAAGACTGGGCTTCAAACACATCCTCTCCCTTAGTATGTCTGAGCTTATCTATCAGAAGGAAGCTGCAGCAACCACCACAAAGGTTGTGCCTTTTGGAATGACCTCTCTGGATATTTGGTGTTGAGAAAAAGTGGTCCCAACCTACCATTGAACCCACCCCCACTTCTCTTACTCCCCCTCCACGTCCCCAGTCGTTCTTGCTGTGCGACATGCTGATGGGGCAAATGCTAAACTCTCAACGTACTTTTTATTTTCTACCTTAGAACAATTATGGAAAACTCTGATCTCACATTCTCCTGGTAGAATTACCCAGAAAAAATAGCATGCTAAAAAGACTCTTCCTATTAAACTTGGGCTTTGGTTCCTTAAAGCTAAGCTTCCCCCTGAAGGGGACCCTTTCATTTTATTCTATGTGGTTTATATTAGATGACAGGTTGTTTTAGGGACCCTCTCTCCCTATAACCTATGAAGTTCCACCCCCTGCTCTGATAAAGGAATGCACAGAGAAAGGAATATGGGGCAGATGATGCACTGTTAGATCCTTCTGTTGTCACAGGTGACCGTGTCTGTAGGTGTGACATTGGGTCATCTGGATGGCAGCTCCAGTCATGAGCCTCGATGGCCTGGGTATTCCCTGCTAGGAAGGCCTCTTGCTGCTTCCAGAAAGTCCTGGCCTTAAACCACAGCCTGGAGAGTCTTTGGCAACGGGCACCTTGGGTCTTCTCTGGAACATTGCACTGAGGACTCAAGAAGACTCATTGCTTTGGATTTCCAGGGCTCCATTTGTACTGGAGTGGATCCAGGAGACACCGTACTGCAGAAAGCCTGAACTGAAAGGCCCCTTGGAGCTAATCTCAGGCTGACTCAATGACTTTGGCAGAGGGAGAAGCTGGCTCAGATTAGCCCAGGGCTTTGTCCAAAGTCATTCTGGCAACAAGGGACAGTCAGGACAGAATCCACGCACATTTTTTTCAGCACTGGTTTGATGAATTTTCTCCTGTGTCATGCTGTCTCCTAAAGCTCAGTTCTGAGGATTGATTCAAGCTGAGGCCATTTTTAGGCTTCAAGTGGGGAAATGAAAAAAATTCACATAGCATTTGGGTAAATTTCCTTCTCTGTCCCATGCTGCCAACTGTCCAGTTCTTAACCACTGTCTCTCAACCATCAACCTCCAATATGGCATGGTAGATCTAAGGGAGAGGAGACGGGAAGGAAAGGGTCCTAACTGCTGTCCCTTCTGAGGCACTCAAAAATAAGAGGCCAGAGTTTGTTTCCTCAGAAACTGGAGAAGAATGAAATCCCACCTCAGCATTTCCGAGTGCTCAGAGGGGTGGGTAGTAGGTTAAGGCTGGGGAAGGGGACCGAAGGGCCCCCTGCTCTCTTGAGGTCCTTCTCAGACCCAGTTTCAGCTACAGTCGCGGGCTCTGATTATATTTACATTCTGAAAACTTTGCATGCTTAGGAACAAGATTAAGACACGCACGCAATTTACATCTCCAAGTTTGTGTTTATATTTTTCCACAATAAAATTATTGCTTCCCTTGGAAAGGTACCCACTGAGAAGAGGACTGCACAATATAAATTTTAATTACTCTGTTTTTTTTTCTTTTTTGTTTCAGGGTTTGTAGCTGTTGTTTCACGCTGAGTTGCTGAGCAGTTGCTTGTATTTACTCCAACTCTGATGAACCCACCTCATTTTCCTATCATTACGTTTTGAAATCTGTCATAACAGTCTCACCTCATTGAACCTCTAACTAAACTTCAATTAAAAGCAAGCATCCCCGGCTCATTCCCCCTTCCTGCAGCCTTGCCTGTCGCGTGCTTTGCCCCTCATCCTACTGTTTAAATACACACAACACACACTCTGCCAGGGAAATGGCAGGAACCAAGCTGAAGGAAAGTGGAGCTCCAGAAGCAGCCAGGAGCCACCCAACGCAGACAGCAGAAGTCCCTAATTACCACGCCAAGCACAGAGCCCTGGCAGAGCAAGGCTTAAGGAGAAAAGGCCCGATCAAATCAGTGAGAAATGGCATTTCACCACACAGGAGATGAGCTGCACACATTCTGGTTTTGAAAATAGTTTAACTCTTCATCAGATACATTTTGGGTGGAACTTTTCATCCCAAAATAATATGAAGTCTCAACGCGTGCATTTGTCTGCAAGCACTCCAAAGACCCCCGAACATTCACAAAAGAAAAAGGCACATACCTAAATGCGCTTTTTTTAAGAACTTTTTTTTTTTTTTTAAATCATACTGTTCTTGATTTACAGAAAGTTTGAGATACTAAGCAATCCCAAGTGCCATCAATGCTATGGAAGTAGGCACGGGGATCTATGTTCCAGTTCAGGGACAGTCCTGATTCCATGGGAAGACCCATCCCTGTGATTGGGTGTTCAGCCTCATCCTTAAGGACAAGGTCATCTGGGAATGACAAGGCCCACAGCCCGTGTCTCCTACATTCAGCTTGTCCACACCTAACCTGACACTTCCCCGCCAAGGTCTGCACTGTGCCCTCAACCCCCAGCTGCAAGTCCAGCTCCGTGTCCAACCAGCCCCCACACGGTGCCATCCACTAAGCCACCCATGAACAGCTGGCTCTGCCTCTGTGAGCCTACTGTTGCTACCATCATCTGGACGTTTATGCACTCTGAGAACAAAACAAGCAAAATCAACCATCAAAACAGAAGGGATGCATAAAGGCGCATGATAAAATGCCAACAAGATGACAGGAGGCAGAGGACATACTAGCGTCAACTCAAGGACAGGTCATAGCAAAAAAAAAAAAAAATCTGCACAATGTGGAATGAAAAAAAATAGGGCATTAATAGAGCATCAGGTTAAATATTCTAGGAAAAGGAAGAGAAATAGGATTATTAAGGTTACAAATCTTCAATCCACTTCCATTTTTTGCTGATAGACAAAGGATACTACAAAGGGAAAAAATATATATGGGAGTAGAGAATTGAAGCAAAAAATTAAATAAGGCACAGTTGATATAATGACCTTAGAATGCTCCCAAGCTCTCAAGTGCGCCTGAGACAGTTGCTGAAGTGGCAGAGACTGAGGCGATCATGTCACTTAGAGCTTGGCTTCAGAAAAAGCCTAAGTGTTCCCAAGGTAGTTGTTTTATGGTCTGGACTCTTTACCCACAAATTTATCCCAACGATGAAGCTATAAATTAAATGCAGTGGAGACATAATAATCTTCCAGATTTTTAAAAAATAAAACAAAAACTACAAAGAACTTTGTTATAGAAAATAATGTTAAAACACAACAAAATAAAGAGATGCTCTAAAGATTTTCTTAGAGGAAAAATTTACACACTAAAGTCTTTCATTCTTTTTTCCAAAGGAAATTTATGAGCTAATCAATGAATTAACAATTTAAAATTAAAAGAGAAAAACAATGGAAGGCTAAAGAACAAAATAGTGGAAAATATATGGAATATTTTTAGACTATAAAGTCAGTAGAATCTACAGAGCCCAAATAGAGTTTCAAAAAGACAATAGC